TCGTTTGGTGTCGACATAGATGAATGAGTTTATTATTGTTATTTTTTCACATTATTCAATATTTTATTATATATACTTATTTTTAATTGGCATTGAGGTCAGTGGAATTTCGTCTCTTCTTACCATGACCAGAGGTCAATTGAATTATAACAGCATGAAGAACTTTCGAAAAAAAGGGGTTACCAGACTTTTAAAGAACATCTTCATATCGCTGAATTTTTAACTGTGCTGTTAAATAATTCAATTAAAGTTTGTTGACTTTAGGAAACCCTATTATAAGAACAGAATAGGTTTCTTAGGCGCTTTGAGATGTCATTTAAAACGAGTTGCATAAAGAAGATTTTGTTTTTTAATATCCATCATTGACGGATGAGGGGCACATTCATTCTTTCAAAATGTTTGTAACGCCCAGAAGAAAGCTTCAGAGATCCCACAAAGTATATATATTCTTGATCAGCATCAAGTTCTGAATGTTCACACGTTTGTCCGTCTGTGTAATGTCTGTTGTAAATATTCTCCTGGCCGCAAATCTGATAAATGTGGAAAAATTGGAAAGTGTGTTCTATGGTCGATGTTGTAGTATCCGTACAATGGGGAAAATTGATCACGCCTACCCACTATCATAATGTATCAAAATGCAATTTTTTTTTTAATACATATATGACGCGCAGAATTAAGCGTCAAAACCACATAAAGCATATAAGTTCCTGGATAGTTTTGCATTTCGAATGCACCTAAGCATGTCCGTTCGTTCATCTATCCGTATGTCCGTCTGCGCAACCGTCTAGTACCAGTGATAAGGCTTCTCCCATTCGCTTGAAATGAAGGTATTGCCAATAAATTTGCAAAAGAATTTGCAAATGGGCCAAACTTTTCAAAGAACACGCCTACAACGCCCACAAGCTTATGTTACAAAAACTGTGAACACTTTCGCTTTCCCCGTGTTTGTTTATTTTGTTATTTATAAAGTACAACACATACACTATATAAATTCTCATTTTTATTCCGAAAATAGAAAAAATCAACCACGTCCATCCAATATACATATACAGTAAAAGTTCCCTATTCTCGCTTCCTTCATTTGCGGTTTCGTTATTCGCGAGTTAAAAAAATTGCGATACAATTCCTCTATTCGCGGCTATAAATTTCTTTATTCGTGGATTCTAAGTACATACATAAAAATAAAAGGATTCTAATAGTTATCCAATCCAAATTCCGTATTCGCGGTATCTGTATTCACGGCACGTATCCCCCGCGAATATGGAACTTTTACTGTATATATATATAGAGTATGAAAACTCTAGTACTTCTTTTCCTTTTTTTAGAGTCACGATATTGGGTATAAAACATTCGGTGATGACCGAATATAATTTCATTACTTGTTGTTTATATTAAAGTTTTTCGTTTTTACGCGGTGTTCTTGATGGAGGATGGCATTTGCCTCATATTGTGATAACATACAAGTTTTCTTTGTTATTAAGTTTCTAAGCTCAGGATTTAAAACTTTTTAAAAACTTTAAAGCAAATGTTTTAGAATTTGATTAAAATTTTATTTCAAAAATTTTGGAAATTAGAAGAGTTTTACTACATTTATAGATATCTGCAATAACAACAACAATAACAACAAAAAGCAAAGTTACAATACTGAGAAAAAGAGAAACTTTGCATATTGAAAAATGAAAATTGACGGGACCAATGCGCTGCTAGAATGATTATATAATAATGGAATAATAATGGAACTCGCATAATGCACCAGGACACGTGGCAATGCCGCATTGCCACCTCTTGCCAATTGAAATTGAGTTTTGGCTGAACATTTTCCTGTAAAGTTGAGAATTCAATTTCAATGCGATTTGAATTTCTATCTAAGTTTTTCACTGCTTGAGTTCCCAAGCAGTTGTTAATGGAGAAAATTAATTACAGTTTCTACCAATGGATGGTGTTCAGAAGGAATCTGTTAGCATCTATAACTTAATGGTGTTTATTGCTTTTAATGGAAAAGGCATGGGAACAAATGAAAGACTGATGAATATTCTATGCCAGTTCGCCTAATAAAATGGTTGATAGAATACTAAAAATGCCAAATATTGTCCTTTGTTTTCATTTTATGGTATATTTTTATGAAAGGGGACTCAAAACGTAGTCGAAATTTTTGCAAACTTTCGATTAAATTCGTCTGTACTTGTCGTAAAGTACAAAATATGACAGCTTTTCTGCCACATAAGTACTTACGTTTCGTGAAAATCCTTAACTTGGATAAGATCTAAAATAAAGACGTACTGGATGCGAACTTTATACAGATAATATTCCTGTCATATTACCATCGTTTCCCTGTCATATTGCCATTATTATACAAAGAAGAAATTGCCTTTCCATGCATTTTTATGTCTTACGTTAAATGCTACTTCCCGATACTTATGATATTTGTCGAGAATTATTAGGTGTTATAAAACTTTTTTCCAATGTGGCATTGTATGGGCGATGATTGTAAAAGAGGTCCTTGGGTAGGTTAAACACAAAAATAAATGAAGAGACAGCCAGATGAGTTTAAGTCGATTCAGAAAATGATTCTGATCCGAATAAAATGGTGGGTACCACTTTCTTTTTGTCTTTTAGTTCACCCAGGGTATGTATGTATGTACTTGCAGTGACGGTCAATACTTGTAAATGTACAAATTTTATATATTCCTAATACGTTGATTGTGATGATCATGTGATCGCTTTTTAGTCAGTGGTGGCACAGGGTTTGATGGATTACATGAATCTTCGCCGGGGTAAAAGAGAGGTACATCGATCCTTACTGAACAAGCTAGGATTACGTAAATTTTTGGTTTTCGGTGATAATCCGATTATACATAAAGGTTTCACTGTGTATATCAAATATATGAAAATTGTGATATACGAGTTGGATATGTAAACACCAATGACAATGCAGCTCACGTACTCACATAGGCAATATTAAAGGCAAAACATGCTGAAAGTTGTAATGTGTTTAACATTTTTTTTTCTATTATAGGACCAATTACTCAGGTGCTGTGACCTATTCGTCTAACATGGCGGCGGTCAAGAGGAAATGGGGTAAGGGCAAGACATAGGAAGATGGCCTTAACCTAGTGAATGTGCGACTAATCGGTAAATGTTGTGCCTTTATCGGCTGGTCACGCCCTGTAACTCTACCTCACTGAGATTTGAACACGCGAAGTCGATGGATTGGTATAATTTCGTTCATGCTCTTGCATCTGAAGGAGAAAGCATATAAAATCGAAGAAATCCGCAATGCACAGTAATGCGATAATCGATTGAAATTATCAACATGATCTTGATTTTTGAGCGACTTTTAGTGCGGTATTTTCGATCACAATCCGAATTCAATTGGTCAGTCGTTTACAGGTCATATGCTTACAAAAAAAAAAGAAGAAAAGTGATAATAATCTCTCCCGAACTTTAAATAAAAAATTCACTAAAGTTATCCCGAACTTTAAAAACAAATGTAACGTAACTAAGGCGAGTATAGGTCTTGCGCCAATAATATTTTCCTAATTTTTTGTGCCCTTCATCTGAGACTCATATATAAAAAATGTTTGAAACATATGCGAATTATTTTTTATACCCATCACCGAGGGATGGGAGGCATATTCATTTTGTCAAAACGTTTGCAACGCCCAGAAGTAGGTTTCAGAGACGACAAAAAGTACATATATTCTTGATCGGAATCAAATCCTAAATCGATTTAAGCATGCCTGCCTGTCCGTCCGTCCGTCTGTTTGTTGCAAACATGCTCATGGCTGTAAAAATGCAGCTATCGACTTCAAAGCTGGCAAAAGCAGTGGAAGTTCTCGCACGCAGGTTGCTATAAAAAATGGGCCAAATCCCTCGAAGGACACGCCCATAGCACCACGTAAACTGAGAACAACTCTGTTTTTCTAAGAAAATGGAAAGTTGTTGGTTTTCTGCTCATTACTCATAACAAATAAATTTCCAAAAATTTGAACAAATATTCTATGGGCCATATTGTAACATTTGTGCATGAAAATGGAAAAATTGACCACGCCTATCCAATATTATAGTGTATTAAAATTTAATTATTTTTTCAATACAATTATAACGCACAAAAATAAGCTGATAAAATAAATACACAAGTTCTTGGCCATTTTCAAATTTTGAATGCACCTAAACATGTCCGCCTGTTCGTCTGTCCATCTGTCTGTTTACGCAACTTTGTAGTATTTAATGGAAAAATTTTCCCGTTAACGCAAGTGAAGATATCGCTTACAAACTTGCAAAGGAATTTGTAATTGATTTAAACTTTTCAAAGGACGCGCCTACAACGCCCACATGTCTGTACGACAAAAACTTTCATTTTGCAAGTAGAAGAAATCAACTGCACAGAGCATAAGTGTTTCGTTCCTTTGTCCTTTTTTGGAATAAACGACGATGGGTGTAAAGGATTCGTTCACGACCGAATATAATTTTCTTACTTGCTTTTTTTTTAGAATCACGGTGACGGGTGTAAAGGATTCGTTCACGACCGAATATAATTTTCTTACTTGTTTGCTTTTCTCCCATCATATGCAAAGTAACTTTTAGGAGCTCCCTAATGCGATTCCTTGAATATGTATATGACCTCTAAGTGCTAGTTATAGAAGTAATTATTCACAGTCGAGCAATTAATGCTTATTTTAGTTTCTGAAATTCAGAAATTGTTTGAAAGATCCTTGAATTGATTTACTATTTAAAAACAAAAATTTGTCAACTTTGAAATAAATTTTCGCAGAAAGGCTCTTAAGAGCAAAACTGCAAGTAATCGTGGAGTTAATTGTGTGCCAAAATGCAAATAAATACACAAACGATAAAAACTTTTAGCAAAGTTCTTGAATGTTTTTCTATTTCCTATTTATTTATTTATTTATTTTTTTTTAAATAATTTTCTTTCATTACTTTTTTAAGAGATTTAAATGAAATTATTTCATGCAATTAACTCGCGGCTGTCCGTTTATATGTTAAGAGTACTGCAATGTTTTAGAGTTACAGCATTGATTACTGAATGCTAAGAAACATTTTGAAAAGAAATTCATTTTAGTCTAGATTTCTGTTTCGCATAAATCCAGCTAAACACCTCATTAAGTAAATTATAGAAAAAGGTTTTCTAAACACATCAAGTTCCGCTGTGAGCCATATTTAATGTTGTTGCACGTCAGTGTATCTAATTTCATCGAAATATGTATAAAATTGTGATCTTTAAGTTGAACAGAAGCATACAAGACAACCAGACGGACATAAAAACTTAAATCGATTCAGAATCATTTTTGGTATGTTTGGTATGTTTTCTAAGTGTTTCATACATCCGCACAAACCTAATATAACCTTGTGCCAAAAGTAGTGTAAGGTGAAAATTTTCATTGTAGTAGTGTAGGAAAATGGGACACCTATGGCACTATTGCAATTGAGCTCACCTTTCTTAGGTAAGTTTTAAAAAGCCTAAGCTTTAGACATTGCAATGAACCATGCCCATATTACGGGAGTACGCTTTCTTCATTGAATAATGTTACAAAACACCAGGGAAGTGTATAACGTTTCCAAGCAAACATGAACGCAGATACCTGCTTTCTGAGAAAGCTTCTTTCAAAGATCCAACTTAAAGAACCGATCATCAAAGTTTGATCAAGAGATTGATTGATTGATTTCGCCAAGAGACTAGTATCTAGGTAGAAATTAGGTTCACCTCGGAAACCTAGTATTGATTTTTAGTCTCATAATGAATACGAATAGTTTCAAGAGACATGTTATCGATTTGTGAGCTAAGTTTGTAAAGAAGAACTTCTAACAGATGAAAAAATCTTCTCTAAATTTTTTTTAAGAAATTAAAAAATAATCAATCTTTAAAGAATATGTAAAATTTTGCCAATCGCGAAACTCCATTGTTTTTCCTTTCACATACGAAATTATTTGGCAACTTTCCTTTATATGTTATTCGTAATGCTTGGTATTTTTTTTTTTTTTTTGTTCAAGATTGTGGAGAAAGGAAACATGTTCAGTACTCTTCGACTTACCATTTATGATTCTTGTTAACTTGTTGCGTCTTGTGGCCGATGGGCTTAACAAGCTTTCACGTCGACTGTTGGTGCCACTGATTGCATTAACGTTGCCACCGCTACCGTGAATTAATTCATTACCCGCGCCAACAACATAATTGATATTCAACTGAGCGCCTTGCGACGTTGAGCTGCATGTGCTGAACAGACTACTGGCTGAGGGACGTTTGCTGAACGGTGCAACCGGTCCTCGTATATCAAGAGAGGGTCGCGGCGAACAATCGCTCCAAACTATTTCCGCAAAAGAATCAATACTTGCTGAACGTTGCAAAGCACTACTGTCTTTGCGTCTAAAAGTAAAAGCAGGAGAAAGCAAAATATGTATGTAATCAAATCAATATAAAATATTAAAATCTCTAAAGCTCTAGAGCTTTTGTAAGTCTTGCAAGAATTGAAGGAATAACAAAATGCCAGTGCATGTCGTGCAACGAATTTTTTATACCTTTTCTTACTAATAGAATTATGTGCAGTCGGTAGCCTAAAGAGTATTGATCTCAACAAAGAGACACAAGGGGTAATGAGTTCTATGAATTTAAAGGAATTGAATATAAATATAATATATATATATATATAGATATATGTGTAATTTTTAATAGTTTCTCAAAGTTCTCGAGTGTAGTCGTAGGTACATCTTGGCCATTTTTAGTTCGATTACTACAGAGCTCGTTTCGCCTTTATGCACAAATTTCCGAGTCTTTGAAGATTTTAAGAGCATACAGACGAAGGGACGATGAAAGTCATTGCTAAAAACTCTCCGATTCATTTGCTCTTTTTGTTAAGAATTTATGTAGTTAGGAGCGCGTCACTAATACCAGTTTTTGTATGGCACGACAGCAATGAAAAATTTAATGACATCAACACATAATAGAGTATTGGAAAATTGCTTACATTATGCGTATTTTGTTGTTTTAAGTCGGTAACAAGATAGTGAACGATTGATTGATACAACATTACGTTGTTGTCATATATCATGTAAATTGTAAAAAAGCAACAGACAGAAAGAGAGATGCCTAAGAAGATACTTGTGGCCCCTTTTTGTCTTTAAGTTTTCACTTGAGTTTCTGTACACGTGTAAGGTAAAAAGTTATTTCATGTTCTTCATTTTTTTTTTTTTTTTTTGTAATTTTCCAATATTTTTTTCCTCTTGAATATTAAAATAAATTGAATTTGCTATACTTGGTCAAGCAAACTAACTATTGAATATATAAACTTGAAAGTTTCAATAAATGAGCTGATATTGAAAGTTGCTTAGCATACATGGCTTATTTGTCTTGTTTATCGGTTTTGTGAGGGAAGATTTTCTTTCTCTTTGAATATATCTATATTGGGTGTGTGTTAAATAGCTGTCTGGCTTTTACTAAACGAGGGTATGAAACTATGATTTGAGAATTATTGAGAGTTATCTTTAAGCTATCACACTGAACCGTGAACACCTCTTGGCACTTTGAGTAGGTGCAGTTCTATTCCAAAAGAACCTATTCGCAGCAATTTCCTACTTGATGGAGGCCTTCATGATATCCAAATTCCCCAAAAAACATGGTACGGATCATTAGCATCGATCATAAAGCTGAATATACTTCAAACATCCAATACGTTCTACAAGATACTGCGTTGTCCACATGACCAAGATAATTTTCCGTAATGAATTTAAAAGATTATATTTATTCTCAATTCTAGTCTTCAGATGTTTAGGTGGTTGAACGTCCAAAGCAATTACTATATTGACATCTGTTAAGATTTTGTTTTTCTGTTTAGCTTAAGTGGGGCGAACTCGAAAGCATTCATCTAAGGAAAGTCAAGTAGGCAAAGTTTTTAATGCCATTTAAAATTAAGACCATGAGAAAACTGACTAGAGGAGATGTGTGGACGAAGTGGTCCGGCTTAATCGTAGTTAATTTGTAGTTTTATCTTAATAAAGAACATATGTAAATATTTGAATTTGATAGGTATCTGCTTGTGTTCGTATAACAAAGCGATCGAATCAAAATAAATTGGAAATAAGAGATTGAATCTTGAGTTAAATCTGCCATGGTATGCAAAATTCAATAATGATTGAATATTGAATTGCATAATGAATTGAGAACTAAATTACTAAACGGAATGAGGGTTCAATTTAGTTTCGAATTGAATTTTAAATGACTGTGCAAGTGAATAACCGATTTTATAATGAATTGCATAATGAGTTGTATATTGAATCTTAAGGCGTGGCACACTTTGAAACATGCGAGTCGTGAATGGAATAAGAAATAAGAACGTTCTTATTAAAATGGCTTCCGCTATTCATTGGTGAAAGGATATCAAGTTTTAATGGGCAGCTTAATATATTTAGCTGACGTATGTTATGTCTGTACTGTGACAGTACAATAATCATCCATATGAGGAATATAGGAATGCTGTAAAATACATGTTGCGTAATCCTAAATAATATTCGAATGGTAAAATAACGTGTACTTCTAAGTGTACAGATTTTATATATTCCTAAGACGTTGATAGGGGTCCATGTACTCGGAGATCTTATAACGGTTGCTTACTTTTTAACTTGGAGAGTAGAAACCAACCAGTGGTGGCACTAGATTCGATGGAGACGGAGTACATTGCAGCGCAGAAAAGAGGTACTTTCCCATGCTCACTGAGAAAGTTTCGCCCACTGCACATTTTTTTTTTTTTGACAATCAAGGTGACAAATTTTTAGTGGATACTCCGACTGCGAGTAAAAGGTTCCACTATGTATGTCAAATAAACGAAAGGGATGGTGTACGGATAGAGTACGTAAACACCATGAAGCTGACGTACTGGCAAAGGCAAAACATGCCAGGGAGTGGCCGCGGCCTAAGTATATCAATCGTTAGTGTACGCCTTTATCGACTGAGCACACGCCTTAGCTATCACTAAAGTAAACTCTACGGCATTAAGACTTGAATTTGGGAACATGGATGATTTCTCTCTAATCGGCTACTCATGCTTTTTAAATCGATTTTAATTAACATTTAAAGTAGTTATGTAGTTCATATCACAGTTTAGTGGGTTTAATTGGAGGGGATGTTTCGTTGTATCCAAAATACATTTAACAAATTAAACATAAGCAAACTAAACGAAGCTCTTTTTGTTGTTGTTTAGAAATGCTTGTCGTTTGTAGTAATTAATAATTTTGAATTTGAAATAAAAACGTAAAACTCGTTGCACGTTTGTTAGGGAAATGTATGTTTTAATTCCATTCCAAGGCTTTGTATTTGATATTTTCAATTCGCAAATAAACAAAAAGTGAATATCACTTGTTGAAACCATTGAAAATTATTTTATAAATAATATAAAAACATCAATCAGTTCGAGCTAATCCGAATGAAAGAATGGTTCAAGCTCTCATTTTTAATTTCCGTGAACTTTTGTCTACAACTAACTAGGAGAAGAAGAACTAGGAGAATTTTAGGGATACGCTTTAATAGAGAGATGGAAATCTCTCTCTATGATCATCATAGGAAAATCAAAATTGGAAAAGCATTCGCGACTGTACTTTTTTGCCACGACGTTCGCTGTTAAGCTGCTATATATAGGAAATAGGAAATGTAGCTTTGTTGTTTTTGTTGATTTTTCCTCCCACTGTTTGTTTTATAACAATATAAAGCAAGAAAGTATAACACAAGTAAATATGTTGTGATCCTTGCCGTCACTTTAATTAGTCACGTAAAGAATTTTCTAATGTAATTAAAAGCGAAAAAGTCTCGAAAGGCTTTATAGAATTTAAATAACATTGTTTTGCTTCATTAACAACAACGTAATATTTGTTGGGTAAACATAGATAGATAGATAGATATGTATGTAAATTTTTATTTATCCCTTCACAAGCCCTGTGGCCTTTATCGATGAATGTTAGTTTGTTAGTGCGTGAATTTTAACTTTTCTTTCCTAACGAAAGAATACTATTAGTATGCGAATGCATTTGTATGCAGAAGTGACTAACTGTCACATAACAATATGCGACTGTTTAGATTGCAGGAAATGTTGGAAAAATTCCTACTTCTAGGTAGCAAAGCGAAAAGACATAAACTGGAAAAATACTTTTGTACATGTATATGTTGAATGAGAAGAAAATAGGTGTGGCAGATGTACTGATCCAGAGTTATTATTACATGAATTTGGGAAAGTTAAGAATTAATATTTGAAAAAGTTATTAATTACTAGCTATTACTTATTCCAGGATATGAAAACCAACATACAATATATGGTTAACTCTATTCGAACTAAAAAAAAATGTTTCCTTACTTACATACTTAGTTTTTACTTTGCTTTGCATACATTACTGATAAATTTAAATGCAAATATCCTTTGAGCTAAGGAGAGATTATAAAAATTTGATTATATAACGAAGGTAGACCGACCAGTTGCTACGAACATTTATTAAAATACTTTAAATATTCGAAATATTTTTTACACTATATTTCTTGATAATCATATAACAAAGTCAACAATCAAACGAAGAATGAATGAATAACAAGACAATATAATCTCGGAACTAACTATGACATGCTTCGCATTGTCATATAATATATATAAGTGTAAGAAAAAAAGAGTAGGGGAAAAAAATGATTCCCTTTTTTGTTACTTCTAGTTATTTATATACGCTGGCCAAGTACTCACACATCCTTATACTATGCTATGCTATGGATGATAGTCACATACAAATAATAGTTTATTACTTACACAGTTTGTTACTTGCTTTGTGATTCTTGTGGTTGTAATAAAATTTGCAGATTTTCTATTTTACAAAAATAGATGTATACTCGTTTTAATGTAACATTTGCAACATGCGCTAGTATGCGCATTAACATGATTTTCGCATTTTTTACACTTGGCATCGTTAAGTTCGGAAGATCTGAAAGAGTGTCTTGCTTCAATCAGATGCCAAATGGATGTTGTTGCTTTACCTGCCAATTTCTAAAACGCAAAGTTGATTGATTTTTTTTTTTTTTTTTGCAACTTGCTTTAGACAAATGGTAGTATGTCCTGCGGATTTTTCAGTAGACTATGAATCATATTTGATCCTATCTATGTTCAGATGCTTTGCTCAAACTTCATTTTTAACCAATCAAGGTATGCAACAAATTTCGCTACAGTTTATGATTGATTTTAAGACAACATGTTGTTAATTAAAACTTGTTTAAACTTTACGACGATACGGCTACGAAATGCGAAGGGAAAACTTCAAGCTTCATGTCATGTTCACCAACTAAAATAACAAATCTTTCTGGCGGACTGGACCAGACATGACAAAATCTTTTCAAAATCTTACGGTAATCAAGATGTTATATGTATATGTATATCTATAGAGTTATCTAGAGATGAGGAAATGTTATCAAAACTTGTATTTGAGAGATGGAATCCTGCAATAATATCCTTAAAAATATCTCCTAGTACACCCACCCACAATAATACAAAAATTACGTGTAAAATTTTGCTTATCCATAGTCTATAGAACCAGAGAACTGCCTATAAAAAGCAAGAAATTTTTTTTTGTCTTATGCCATTTTTCAGAACGAATACATAAACAGATTCCAGGGGGTAAATATCAGAGATTCATCAAAACTGCTGCATAAAGTTCGATAGGCTTAATACTTTTTAGGTTGGTTCATATTTTTATTCGACTTCAGTAATATAAACGCAACACAGTTTTAAACAAGTGATGCTAACAAAAAAGGATTTGACATTCATAACTTGTCTCCACTTTACATTCTAGTCGTGCGTGAAAATCTTATTGTTTTTGTTTTCACATAAGTTGAATACAAAAAAAAACAGTTTTGTTACCCAAGCCAATTGAAATTCTTTAGTTAGTTATATGCATATAACGTTGTTGTAATTCTTTGAAAAGCCCCTTACTTACATTACTTTGTCATTCTGACTTATCTCTGAAAAAATATATTTATTTACATGTTATGATTCTTTCTTCCTGATGATGTGTCACATGCATGCTAAGCAGATGCAAGCTTATAAGCACAGGATGATCCATATGGTGAATATAACTGAATTTCCTTTAGATACATAGTATCTAACTCTCATCAGCACTCATATTGTTTCATTAAAGTGGAATAAAAGGGGAAAAAAAAGAAAAAATCAAACCTCATCGTCACTTGCATGTGACTAATAAGTATCCTGCTCACTAATTAAATATAATGGAAATGATTTGCTACATAAGACATCTATTTTAATGTTCGACCATAAGTTCTTTTTTTATTTTTCAATGCATTTATTTTCATTTTCGCAAAGTAATTTATTTTAATTTACGAACAACAAAACACAACATAGCGAGATTTTAAGTTTCGCTTTTTCGATTTTCAGACACAAACATGATTTAATTTATAATTTTATATAAGAAGGGGGAATTAAGAAGAAGAAGATAGTAAAATTGAACTCTTAAAGTGCCGAGAAATTTTCACAAAAAACCTATAGTTTACTAATAATGTATGTGGCTTGGTGTTGTTCGCTGCGGCAGCGACAACTAAGCCTTCCTTCTTATCGCTTTTCCTTTCAAAATACGATTATCGGTAGTATTTGTTGAAATAAAAATAACATATGTGGGCTGACTAATCTTAAGAGAAAAATGTTGTATCAAACACTTGTGCTTAATATTTTTCAATCTTGAATACATAAATTAATCTCTATCTGAATTCTTGAAATTAAAATTTCTAATGTCACTGAAAACTTTCACATTGAGAATATCTCCGCTAACTATGGAGTTCAATGCGTTTTTTATCGTATTGATTACATATAAATTTCGAGCATCTCTGGAATTTGAAATATGGAATATTTGTTCGAGTCCTATCCAGAATAACAAGAGAGAAGCGTTTCAGCCCGTCTTAGTGGAAGAAGTCGAAAAGATGACGCTTTTAAAAGGGATTAATTCTCTTGTAACTGTATTTACATACAATATTCAATTCAATATCGGAAGGTTATGTGCATAAGTGTGTAAGCCTGGTTTGATTGACTTCGCAAATAATTTGCCGAGGAAAAGAAAAAAATTAATGGAGGAATATTTCTCTGAAATGTTTTGTTTAAGAAAAACTAATTCGGTCACAGTCGTCCTAAAACGCGTCCCTTTATAACGCGATTTTCGTAGAAGAAATTTCCACCAATTTAAGTAACTTGAGAAATTTTAGCGACGGCTGAACTTATTCGGTAAAAGTTAATTTTTATTTTTGAAATTTGTGGATTCACAATTCCAATTGTAAGGGAATCTCCCGAAAATTGGGCCAACTATAGAGCGTCGCTTGCTTTTCATCATTCCTTGCTGAGATTGTGTATAATGAGCATTCATTTAATTTGTAATAATTCTAAATCTTTTATTACGCGATTTCTATAAAATACAGAAGCAATGGTTTCCATCTAATGCGGTCTAATTTAATCTTATTTCTCTATGTTTCTTTTAACACGATTTTCACAGAACACCTCTGCAGAGCTAAATTAATTCGGACGTTTGATTGCTTATATAATATCAGATTATTTATCAATCATCTGCAAGACTAGTTTAAAAGGTAAGCATGGCGATTAATAGGCCAGCGTTCCTGAGTTCAAATCTCAGTGCGATAAAGTTTACTTTTCTCGTAGTTGTAATGAATGATTGATCAGACGCGTGAAGAGCTAACACTTAATCGAATGGACAACACACTCGCTAAGCTTTGCGGCCAACTCCCTTTTTCTTTCTTTCTGACTGTCACCGAGTCACATAAATAAGGGAAATTCCCTAAGTGATTGGGTTTATAAATATTACGACCTGCTTTCATCAACGTCAAATGTATGTATGTGTTCTGAGCATAAGAAAACATAAAATGAAGGACTGTACTTTTGCCTACTTTGAGTAAGAGTAGTTCCTTTGATACTTTAGCTGTTAGACCTAAATGTGACATCAGATAGACCAAGAAACATTATGTGACTTCTTTCAGCCGTACTTTGTAGGGAGAGGACAAAAAGAAAAAGTAAGGATCTCCGAATCGTTTAAAAGATAGTTTAATTTCAATCTCAACCTAAGTAATATTAGATAGGCTAAGCGCTTTGTTAGCAATGAAAAGAGGAAAACCCGCAGTGGATTGTGTACAAGATTAGCACAGTATTGGAACGTTACTGATCGGCCAACATAGCGATTAATCAAGATATTATTAAGGCTTAAAGGAAAGGAAGTATACCAATGATAGTTTAATCAATTTAACTCTAGAAATTTCGATATTCAAAACACGATTTTCTCCATTTCATCCCCTCTTCGGATTACACACGCACAAACATATTTTTATATGCACCTTTAAGTTTACTAATTTAATTAATTGCATTATTAGAGCATTTCTTGAGAATAATTAAAAGTGTACAACAACAATTGAAGAATCTATTATTAAATGTGTTTATAAATATTCAAGTTTCTCAGTGTGTGTGTGTGTGTGTGTGTGTGTGTGTGTGTGTGTGTGTGTGTG